GGTTTGAATCTTCTTAGAGAAGACCTACAACTGCAAACGTCTGTAGGCTGGTCTCAAGGATATGCACCCTATAAGCATTTTCCAAAGTATCTAAGAAATTATCCAGATGGAAAAATATGATTGGTAAATCAATAAAATGCTCAAAGTAATCAGAGAGTAAACAATTATAGTATGGTAGGCAAATAGCTAAAAGTAAATATTTAGTGTTTCATTCAAAATCTACACTCAATAAACACTATCCTTTTTTTTTCTATGAAATTTTAAATCATTTTAATCTTAGGAGAGTAGGTTAAAGAAATAAAAATCCAACCAAGGGCATAAGACTTTTTGCAGGCTACAGGGCCTAATGAAAAATGGCCCTCTTATTTATATCATTTCATAGCTACCATGAAAATAAAACATCCTCCGAAAATAAGACCTACTTACAGGTTTCCTTCTGAGTGAAATATAAGGCATCCCCCTGAAAATAAGGCCCCCCTAGGCTCTGTCTCAGAATGAAAATTAATTTACCATAAACTGATCGCTAGGGCGCATGGAAATTAATGACTACATTGAAATTAGAATGGAGAGAAATCAGCGTGGAAACTTTATGAAACCTAAACTGCAAGAAGTTGTGTCTTGGGTGAAGAATTCATGGAAGAAAATCACTGACAGTTGCATTGCAAATGTACTGCGAGCAGGCTACCTTGACAAGAAGTACTCATTTAAAGACAGTGCTATTGCTAAACATGAGAGATTTGGACCACTGATTCTGAAAGAAATGGAGTCACAAGAAATTCACCAGGAAATTCAGGAATTGGATTGTTATGATGATGTTCCAGAAAATGATGACATGATTGTCATTGAATAAATGAGTAAATTCTTGATACTGTAGGATTCACAGTTTGTCTGGTTTCTGTTGACAACTACCGTACTACCATATCATATACAGGTAATAAATTTCCTTTATTTTCATTTAACAATAAATGTGTACCATATTCTTCTTCATGGAAAAATAAGACATCCCCTGAAAATAAGACCTATCGCATCTTTGGGAGCAAAAATTAATATAAGACACTGTCTTATTTTCAGGGAAACAGGGTATTCATTGATTTACTCATTCATTAGTTCATCCAACAGTCATTTGTAAACACCTACTAAGTTGAGGTAATAACTATAATCTGCAATTCATGGATTTTAGTTAAGGAAATAAAGGTGAGAGGTAGTTTAAAGGCTCTTTCAGACCTGAGGGACCGGGTGTTGGCATGGAGAAATTGTAGACTGGACAGAAGTAATGTACCCAGCCTGCTATCTCACAATATTATCTCACAATATCTCACAGTTATATTGTTGACAGGGGGGGAATTTTCTATACTCAGAGTATGCGCCTCATCTCTGATGACAGGAGCCCCATGAAGACTGCTAAGAAGTAGACTGGAGTTACACAGACACTGGTCAATAAGTGACTCAGGGTTGATGCCTCAATCATTCCCTCCTGGAGGGTAACCCCCAGGGCTGAGGAAACCAATAGGTACAAAATGTCTGTTAGGTGTCTGGCACCCGGTGGCTGTTCATAAAGCGACCACCTGGCTGTAGGTAGGGAGAATTCATGGGGTGGAGCACATCGTTCCCTCGTGTTACTCCCCAAACAAAACAGCATTAATTATTAGAAGTTTCTAACTAAAGACAATTTTAAGACATATAGGATTGAACAAATAACAAATATATCTGACGCTCAAATAATAAAATCGAAAATGTTGGATTTCCAATCCTAAAATAAATAGGAAACAAAATTAAAACTCCAAGATTGAATGTAACATGGAAAAATACAAACAAATTTGAGACTTTTCACAGAGCAGTCAGTAAGAAGCAACCAAGAAAACCAGGGAAAGGAGATAATCTGCCTGTTTGGAAACAGGAGTTAGTTGCCTTGGCTACAACCATGAGATTTTCTTAAACCTGTCAGTCTCCCAGGGGATAAAGTGTACAGGAATAATTCCCCCAAAAAAGTACATCCAAAAGGAGATTGGGGAGAAAAAAAGCAGCTCATAGAGAAAAACAATAAATAAACAAGAAAATCTGTATGTGACAAGCAAAAAAATTTCAACATCTTTTGAGCTTCTTGGAAACTGGGCCAAGTCCAAGCATTGCTGGAATTTGGGTAAGATTTCATTCCTAGCTCTTTGTTCTAGATGTTCATGTTTTCTTTTTTTTTATCTTATATTTTATTGATTTTTTTACAGAGAGGAAGGGAGAAGGAATAGAGAGCTAGAAACATCGATGAGAGAGAAACATCTACCAGCTGCCTCCTTCACACTCCCCACCTGGGATGCGCCCACAACCAATGCACATGCCCTTGACAGGAATTGAACCTGGGACCCTTCAGTCCCCAGACCGATGCTCTATCCACTGAGCCAAACCGGTTTTGGCTCATGTTTTTTTTTTCACTCATAGGTAGAACACACACTAGCACTAGCCCAGAAGTTACATGTGTTCTGCTATGAATACCCAACTGGAGATTTTGAGATTTAGGATGAGGTGAAACTGAAACTTGCTGCTTAGCCAAAACTTAATTTAAAATTCTTTGTTATTTTAGGGAGAAATTCAACAAAACGTTGTTTTAAGTAACCAGTTTCCAATCCACATAGCATCCTGGAAGTCGTAAGAAAACAGAACTTTTAGCTCTCAGGCCAGGAGAAATTTATATCAGTCCAAGTTCTACCTGTAATTTTCCCTACCATGTCCTCCCTCCCGCCAGAGATGTGGCCCCGGGCCTGGAGGCAACGCCCCTGTTCTTTAGTTCCTTCACTTGGAAAATCAAGGTACTGGACTAGAACCATGGTTTCTGAGCTTCATGTCACTGAACCCTCGTTGTTCCATAGAAAGTTGGGACTTTGCTAGAGAAAAGACCAGGGACAAAGTAGGAGTGATGTAGGTGGGACTCCCAGGCCCCATTTCCCACTTTCATCAGAGCATTTCTTCTTTTTCTGGTTTAGGAGCTGGTTTTCCAAAAGGGATTTTTTTTTTTTAAAGGATATAATCGGTTTTAAAAGTTGGCAAACTTCTAAATTGCATGATCTATCGACTTTTGCCAGAATTAACATTTTATGAAACTCTCCCAGAATGATATCTTATGTACTTTTCTTTCCAGTGCAGATGGTGACAATGCTGTTCTCTTGAGATAACTCTTGTTCCCCAGGCCAAGAGCTGGGGGCAACCTCCTCACACTGACCAGATCCCTTAATAGCCAGGGTGTGTCAGCCCCTCCTTGTCTTTGAGACACAGTCTGCATTCAGCCTCCAACGTAAAGAGCTTCTTGCACTGCTTTCCTCACCCATGCTGAGGTCACTTCCATCACTAATGCTCTAAGGCCACTACCCCGACCCCTACCTCCTTCGGTGAGAAGGGCAGAATTTCATTTTTGTGAGAGCTTCTTCCACTTCCTTTTACCTTTTTGAACTCCACACAGATGAGGAAGTTGTGGTTAAGTGAAGAAATACGTTCTTTTATATCAGTCCCACAATATTGAAGCAACATATTTTTTGCATATGATGTTGTTCTTAGTGTAGGGAGGGAAACAGAAGTCTGTAAGGTGAGAAAAGTCATGAGAAAGCAAATCTGAGATGCCTCGAGGAGAAAGACAGGAAGGTGTTTACCGACTTTATGTCTCATTTAAACCCTTTCAAGGAAGGAAGGTAGGATGCGAATACAGGAAGCTACAGATTTAGACCAACTTTTCTCTCCAAGACTGGAATGGATACCACCAATATAACTGGATGTTGAACATGGATACATGAAGGGACATTTTTCGTGACATAGCCATGTGTTTATGTTAATGTGCATGCAACAAGAATAGTTTATTTAGCTTTGACTTTAGAGATATGATAGCCTAAAAAGAGGGAAAACTTTTAAAGTAAATTTAAAGAGAAAATAATACCAGAGGTGGCACTAGTATTGGCAAAGATTTGGCAAAAAATTATGACAGAAGTAGGAGGATTTATGAATGTCAGGAAACTTAGGGCTGTACCAGCTCCAAAGCTTCTCCTAGACAAGCACTTTTTGGTAAAACTAATCTGTGCAACTTTATACAGACTTCTGTTAAAGCCATCTTAAGTTGTCCCACAGATGCCTGTTTATTAATTAGCCTCTTCCATAGCAGTTGGTGCACAGGTGCTAAATAAGATCATTTGAATGAATGAGTAAATATATGAATGGAGGCACACATGTAAGAATAAATAATTGCTGCCTGGCTCAAGGAGGAAAGATGTGTTTATATCCAGGGGAACATGGATGATTAAAAGTAAGACCCTAGACTCACATTTGATCTTCTGCCAGCCCCTGCCCAACCTAGTACATTCTGACAGGTTTCAGAGAAGGATCTTACTTTTCCCATGATGCCAATGGGCAGGGTCTATCTACACAAGGCAGAGAGTTCTCATAGGCCACCTGTGAACTAGTCCTCTCAGCCAAGGTTCTCAAATCCTGGGCCTGAATAAAGATTAAGGGAAACCATAATGCTATGCAAATAGTGTAGTAGGCAGCTCAGCAGGGAACCCCACTGAACCAGGAGTGGCGCTAAACAAACTCCAGTCACTTCAGGTGCTGAGTAAACATAGAGCCTGTGATGTCAGCAATCCTGACCTCTGCCCTGGAAGCAAGGTGTGTGTACAACCTGGATCACTTTATAACAAGCAGAATGAAGACCTGTTTTTAAGAGGTCATGGAGTCCTCTGTGATCTGTGTCCTGCCTAGCAAGGCCTTTCTCAAACAGAATAGAAACAAATGAAAGAAAACAACTGTTTACCTGATTTAGTGTGTCTCCTTCGCAAGCATCCTGTCTGATATTAATCATAAGATTGCAACACCAAGGGAACCCAAGTAATCTACTTGGAGTCACCAGTTCTGAAGATTGCTCATGCGATTCCCTGCTAATCAAGAGGATGTTATGAAATGTGACTCAGACCACTTCCGGTTTTCCAGAAGAGCAAGGGTTCTCTATAAAAAGAGGGATCTTCCTAGCTGAGGTATTGGAGCAGCAGGATTTCTTTAGCTGAGAAGCCATCAGATTTCTTTAGCTGAGAAGGAAGACAGAGGTCAGCATGCTCGGCCTTCTTCTGCTGCTGCTGCTCTGCGGCCTGGGGTCTCAAGGCTTCCCAGCAAGGTCTTTTAAAATGCCAAAGGATGCTGAGCAGATGGTCCAGGTAAATGCTGAATTTCAATGCCAGAAATGGAAAAGCATTTATTTGCATTTTCCCACTGCATATCAGAGTAGTGGTAGTGAGCATGATGAAGTTTACTTAAGGATGGATTTTCTAGAAAGAGACATTTTTGTTAGAAAGCTCATTCTCCTCCAAAATGTGTGTATGCATAGACGCTCCCTTTCTAGCTGGAGGTGAAAGAAAACTAAAGGAATGATATGCAAATGCGGCTCTACAGATTGTATTTCTAACTTCATAGTAGCTGATGGTAGTGAGATTTGCCTCTGAATTATAGCTTCCACTGGCGATAAAGATAATAAGGATCATGAAATCTAAGCACAGTCTTTCAAAGGAGTTCTCTGTTTCACTGTCAATTTTGGGAAAGATTTCCTGTCCAGTGTTTCAATAACACTATCTTTCCTCAGCAATACTTGGAGAACTACTATGACCTGAAGAGTGTTGGGGAACAAATTGGACAAATTGGAAGGCAGAGAAAGGGTAGCCTCGTGGTTGAAAAACTGAAACAAATGCAAAAATTCTTTGGGCTGAAAGTGACTGGGAAACCAGATGCTGAAACCCTGAAGATGATGCAGCAGGCCAGATGTGGGGTGCCAGATGTGGCTGCATATGTCCTCACTCAGGGGAACCCTCGGTGGGAGCAAACACAGCTGACCTATAGGTAAGGATGCTGAGCAGCAGATGGAGAACGCTACCTTCCATCACAGCTGTAAGAAAGGAAGTCCTTTATGTCTCTATTCTACTTCATTTTTAGGATTGAAAATTACACACCAGATTTGTCAAGAGCAGATGTGGACCATGCCATTGAGAAAGCCTTTCAACTCTGGAGTGCTGTCACACCCCTAACTTTCTCCAAGGTCTCTGAGGGTTTAGCAGACATCATGATATCCTTTACCAGGGGAGGTAAGTTCTTCTTGCAGCATGAATGTATTCTCACCTTAACTTCGTCTGACCCCTAAATCTCTTAAGCTTTATAGTTCAATTCCTTGTTTAACAGGAGTATTGATTTTTTTACTAGAGGCCAGGTGCATGAAAATTCATGCACTGTCTGGGGGGTCCCTCACCCTGGCCTGCCCCCTCTCACAGCCCGAGAGCTTTCAGGGGCAGGAAGTGACCCAGCTATCAGGGAAGGCAATGCCCCCATCACACCCCTGCTGTTGCCACTGCCAGCAGCGCAAGCCTCCTGACCTGAGCCTCGGGTGGCCCTGGGTGGCTGGACAGCCAACATCTGAGGCTTGCCTGAGCATGGGCACTGCCATCTTTGAGGGCAGGCCAGTCAATTAGCATATTCTCTCCATATTGGCTGTGGGTGCCACCATCTTTGAGGGCAGGACAGTAAATAACATATCCCCCCTTACTGGCTGTGTGCACCACCATCTTTGCAATGGTATGAGGGTTAAATAGCAAATTCCCTCTTTATTAGATAGGATGGGCTTAAGGGGGGAAACTATATCACATTGAATAGAAGTCTTTTGGCCTCACAGCAAAGCAAAAGCTTCTCTCCCATGCTACCTTAAATAACCAACGGGGACACCATTGAATTCTGTTTTTTGCAGATCATGGTGACAACAGTCCCTTTTATGGACCTGAAGGCGACCTTGCTCATGCTTTTCAGCCAGGCCCACATATTGGAGGGGATATTCACTTTGATGAAGATGAAACATGGACCAATGATCTCAGACGTAAGTCAACTAACCTTGCCTTTATCAATTTTCCCCACCCCTTTGCGATGCATGTAATAATTGGTTGATTTAACTGAAAGAACACATTAATGGAAGTATGTATTTTCCACTACCATTAAGAAAAGTCATGATACATTTAGAAAAGGGTAAGAAAATAATATTTCCGATAGTAACAGCATTTTATTAGCTACAGATAGGCCACACTAAAATCTCTATTAAGAAAATGTTGAGAACCCTAACAGTTTACCTGTAGGCATCTCTAAATTTTTTTTTTTTTTTTACTAATAGACATACCAAAATTTAATAGTGGTTGTAAGATTATATGGAAATTAAGGGAGGAGAGGCTTATGTGTTTTACAAAATTTCTAACATGAAGGATATATCAGTTTTTTAAATAGGAAAAACAATTTATGTTGATAGAAATCTATTGCTTCTCTGTGAAATATGTGTTATCCAATTATTGATGAGACTGATGAATCTGTGCTAGCCCCTCAGTCAACTGAGTTTGCCTTTTTATTGTATCAGGGTAATCATAGACTTTAAACTTTAAACACACTCTTTACTATTAACTAATGCATTCCTTTCACCTTAGGAAGAATTTTTATATATATTTTAAAAAGCTATGAAGAAAATAAGAGCATTAGTTCTTGTAGAGTTGTATAGCTTCATTAAATATCTAGAAACTGAAAATATTGCAAGTAATTGCAAATGGTTTTATTGGCACTTTTAGATTACAACTTGTTTTATGTTGCTGCTCATGAACTGGGCCATTCTCTTGGACTCTCTCATTCTAATGATATTGGGGCTTTGATGTACCCCAACTACAACGTCAATTCCTATGATGATATTCAACTCTCCCAGGATGACATCAATGGTATCCAGGCTATATATGGTGAGTACAAAGAAAACCATCCCAGACAAGGGGCCAGTAGATACACTATCTTTTAAGAAGCTGCCTTTCATTATTTATGTTCTTTTCACAAACCAGGCAGCACTAACTTCAGATCTATTTTTTCTTTAGGACCCTCTAAGAATCCCAGCCAGCCAACGGGCCGCCAAACCCCACAAATGTGTGATAGTAAGCTAACCTTTGATGCTATCACTACGCTTCGAGGAGAAGTGATGTTCCTCAAAGACAGGTAAGACATCAATTCTTCTTGTTTGGTGTTTGTAATAATAACAACATTCACTACTACATTGCTTATCTTACACTTGTTTACCCACATAATTATGTGATAGCACTTGATTGCATTGGAAAAACCTAATTAACTTACAGCAACTTTGTTTTCCCACATGTACTCTGCCATTTGACTATCAGGAAAAACAAACAAACACCGAAGCAGAAAGTCAGTAAATATAATCCCATTTCACAGATCAGTAAAGTAAGGCATAGAGAAGAAAAGAGATCTTTTGAGGATACAAAGTTTATCTTCTGACTCCTTCCTTCTCCAGGGCTCTTAATAACTTATGACATTCTTTATGATGATCAGGATGTTAGTGCATTATTATGAGAAATCGGTTATTTTCATAGCACCATCATGCTGGTCCCCTTCCATTCTGGAAAAGATAATCCTCCCAAAGCCTGTGGTGGTGACAGGTCTCTGTTGCCTCCAGAGGCCCAAAGAGGGGCAGGAGCCCTTGCCAGAGAATATCCATGCGTTCAGGAGACACCTCTCCTGGGTAGATGTAAGGGAACACAATGTGCTTCCCTCTTCAGAGGAGGATCCTCGGTCTCCCTGTCAGCATGTGGCCTCAGGAAGGCTGGGGAGCCCTCACACATGAATAACAGGCCTGCCTTACACACTGTGCTGATTCCTAAAAGACCAGGCATCATCACTATATTCTCTTTTTCTCAATGATGCAGCCCACAGCACAGTAGGGGTGCTCAGATAGGCTCTAATCTCCTCTTTATGGAGTGTTGTTGGTGCTGTTCTAATACATCGTGGTCATATCTACCCCACAATGCAGCGCATTAACTGCTAATGCTTTTTATCCCCTTCTGGACTAGTTTTGAGTGTAAAAGGTAAGGCTGGATATAAGCCACTGGGTGCAGCTCAGTGCTGGGGGTGCTCAGGAAATACATGGTGCTTAAGGAAAGCTCTTGGTATAATAGAACCTATCCAAGCAAGTATAGGAAGGATTACTCCAATAAGACCAAGTCTAGGATTTTCAGGCACTAAAGGGACCCTGAGATCATGAAAGCATCACCAAGTCATGAAGACACGGAAGACTAGAAACAGTGACAGTAACTGACCTCCAAGGTCTCACAGAGGCTGAGGTAGGACCGAGGCAGGACTGGATCTAGAAGTCTATCTCTGACTGCCATAGTCACAGTCTTTCCTGTGGCCTAGAATCTGGAAATGCTTCGGACAGGCCAATGGCAGTCTATGTTTTGCTGTTTTCTCCAGTCACTATGGACTGTAGAATCAACATTGCACACCACCAGCCTTAGCAAGACAAAGGGAGGGGCTGCCAGACCTGAGTTTAAAATTAACCTTTGTCTCACCAGCTGCCCAGCCTTAGATAGCTCCCTTGGCACCCCTGACCTTAACTTCTCACCTGTAAAAGGGGAGCAATGCTTTCTTGCAGGGTTTGTGTGAGATAGGACACCATGTAGGGAAGGCCCTGTGTTGGAAATGTACACTAGTGTAGAATGTTAGTGCTCTATTCCAGCCAGCGATGTGCTGCAGCAGAATCCTAAGGGCTCATCAAAGCCAAGTTTTAAATTTTGAGAATTTTGCAATCTGGTTATTAAACTCGAACATTATTAAGATGTTAAGTTAGTTCTGGCCGGTGTGGCTAACTTGGTTGGGTGTCATCCCATGCACCAAGTGTTTTCCAGTTTGATTCCTGGTCAGGGCACATGCCTAGGTGATGGGCTCTATCCCTGATGGGGGTGATGCAGGAGGTAGATGATCAATGTTTGCTCTCACATAGATGTTTCTCTCCCTCTCTCTCATTCCCCCTCTCTCTAAAAAGAATAAAATAAAATAAAAACCACAGAAGTTAAATTATATCAACTTATAATTATGTTTAGCCAAAGGTAATAAAAATAATCCAAACTTACTTCTTTGGCCCTGGCCACATGGCTCAGTTGCTTGGAGCATCACCCCATAACCTGAAAGTTGTGGTTCAAATTCCAGTCAGGGCACATACCTAGGTTGCAGGTTTGATCCCTGATAGAGGCACAAATAGAGAGGCAACCCATCAATGTTTCTCTCTCACTTGATGTTTCTCTCTCTCTCTCTCTCTCTCTCTCTCTCTCTCTCTCTCTCTCTCTCTCTCTCTCTCTCTCTCTCTCTCTCACTTCCTCTCTCTAAAATCAATAAACGTATACTCAGGTAAGGATTAAAAAGAACAACTCACCCTTTTGTAATTATTTTGTTACATTTTACTCTTTATTTATATTCCGTGGTTGTTTATGAATCCGTTTGGTGGCAGAAATACCATACAATGGTGTGATACTGCAAATCTCTTGAAATCTACCATGGTAGGAATATTTCCAACCTGGGAATAAGCAAATGCAACCATCAGGACTCCACTCCGCCCTCACCTTGGAGAGCCAAGATGTTAAACATTTTACTAGCACACCACTACTTCCAGCAGTAAGAAGGAGTTGGACATCAACCATAACTTGCTATAGATTAGATTAAAAACCCTTTTCTCTTTTTTTTAAACCAGGTTCTACATGCGCCCAGGTTCTCACTACTCAGAACCTGAGCTCCATTACATCAATGTCTTCTGGCCAAATCTGCCCAATGGTCTTCAAGCTGCTTATGAGTTTGCTGATAGAGATGAAATCCGGTTTTTCAAAGGTAATGCTTCCAATGATTGTATGAATTAATTTTTCATTGGCTGAAATAGAAGAGAGCTCCCCTCGTTTCTCTTTAAAGAATTTTAAAAATATAAGTCTCACCAAATCAATTAAGGGAGTCCATCGCCTTAATTAAGAATTGCACAGTGCATTTCTGAGTGGTTTTAAATCAAAGCATATGATTGAAAATATAAATGTTCTGTACTGTTTATAACTCTGGACTTATAAAATTGTGTTCTATGAATACTAGTTATGTGTTTTAAACCCTCTCTGCATTCTTGGGGTTGCTGAGAAATGAAATACAGAGACTTGGACCAATGCTGTAGAGGGGATGCAACAGAAGCACTTGAGATGTGTAATGTCCTAGAGCACATGTGTCAAACACAAGGCCCGCGGGCCAAATCCGTCCCACCAGGCCTTGCAATGTGGCCCGCACCGCGCTGTCATCACTGCACTCCGCTGCGTTTCCATCACAATGACAGTTTATGACTGTTCAGTAAACCATTCGGCCCGCGATTTAGGCTGGATTTTAGATTTTGGCCCCTTCTCTGATTGCGTTCGACACCCCTATCCTAGAGCTATTTTTATATAAATGACAGACAAGGATGCTGCGTGCAGCCTTGCTGTCAAGGGATGATCCTCAGACCAACACCACTGACATGGCCTGGAGAGTTTGTTAGAAATACAGAATCTCACTCAGCAGAATGTCCTCAAGGTCCATTCATGATGTCAGATCTGATCAGACTTCCTTGAATTTTAATGGACTTTCCAGGCAATTTGTATGTACATCAAAGCAGGAGAGGTCCTGAAATTCCATGAATTGACTATCCCTGAGGTGGCCCCATGAACTCATGTCATGCCATGTCAATGCCTGGCTCCTGCTGGAAGTCCCCAACCCCATAAATCAGCCCTTCTCAAAGAGGCTGCATATTAGACTCATCAAGAAAACCTTTAAAAATATATTGATTTAATTTGTCTGTGGTTGGATACCAACATCTGTATTTTAACAATCTCCTAGTTAATTTCACAGACTAGACCAGGACCCTGCTCTAGTCTGTGAAACTAACTTAAGAACAAATTTGCTCACTGCCTACTGGTGCTCAGAGTGTTTTAATCCCTGTTTCTTGATTGGCAGGCAATGAGTACTGGGCTGTTCGGGGGACAGAAATGCTGCCCGGATACCCCAGAAGCATCCACAGATCCTTTGGCTTCCCTAGAAGTGTGGAGAATATCGATGCTGCTGTTTTTGAGGAAAATACTGGGAAAACATACTTCTTTGTTGCTGACAAGATCTGGAGGTAAAGAAAGAAGTTAGGGCACCAGATTTCTCTACATAGAAAGAAAGTTCCAAATGGAACCACTCACAGATGATTCTTATATTGCCTTGGCTAGCTGCCTTTTCTATGAATGTCTGTAGCCAGTCAAGCATCCAAGTCTCTTGATCAATAATCATCTTGCAATACCTGTTCCAGGAATTCAGGGATCAGCTGGGGTGACTTTGAAAAAGAAGTTAGAGAGAGAGAGAGAGAGAGAGAGAGAGAGAGAGAGAGAGAGAGAGAGAGAGAGAGAGTTACTTCAGCCAAAAGAAACTTATGTTTAGTCACATTATATTTTAGTAAGATATTGTGTGGCATCACCTGGAAAATTAGATTTAGATGCTCAAGTTTAGAAGGACTTTATGAATCTTCTAGTCTACCTAACATCCTACCTCACCTCATCCCACCCCCATCCCTATTGTATACATGATCTATGGAATTAGTTCTTATTACTTTCTTGTTGGTGAATACCCTATAGTGATTTTGAGAAGGCTACTTGTTTAACAAATGGTCTGACACGTTTAATCATTTCTGGATCAGGTATGATGAATACAAACAATCCATGGATGCAGGTTATCCCAAACAGATAGCAGCTGACTTTCCTGGAATTGGCAACCACGTTGATGCGGTTTTCCAAAAAAATGGTAAGTGAATATATACCTATTTCCTCTATTTTGTTTTATTTTTTTGCCATAGAATAGATCAGTATTATTATTTAGAACAGCAAATGCCAAAAAAAGATTTGTTCTCACACATGACTTGGGTTTTTTAAGAATTCAAGTTAAACCTAGAAATTACTTGTGTAATTGTACTAAATACCTTTTGTGTTTCTAGGATTTCTCTACTTTTTCCGTGGAAGGAGGCAGTACAAATTTGATCCTAGAACGAAGAGAGTTTTGACTCTCCTGAAACCTAACAGCTGGTTCAACTGTAGATAAAATTGATCGACTATTTCAACATAGAACAGAAAAAAAGTATTTCAAGAGCACAAGGAAAGAATTTTCCTGAAGAGCCATATATATATATTTTTTTTAATTCATAGCTATTTAGTATAATTTATCTATATCTGATTCTGCATGATTTAGAATGCAATGCTTTGTGTACTTTTATAACTTACTTCTACAAATGAGTGCTAAGAAAGGTCAAGTTTCATAGCTTATCGATACTTCAGGGCCAACTTTGCAAAGAGAGAAGCTCTTTTACGAAGTATATGACTCTGCATTACAACTGGAAGCAGCCACGGTGATGAATGTCTCCTCCCATGAAAGGAAGAGGCAGACATCAGAGTCTACACCAGAGATAAAGCAGTTTGAGAAAAAGTGCGCAGCCACTACTTACCATCACCCTGAAATGCCAGGGACAGCTTTCCTTACAGAAAATAAAATGTTTTTTGTTTGGCCATCCTTGTCTCTACTGTTTTTATAAACTTTCTATTATGGGTAAGTTATAATACCGATTATAATGATTATAAGGCCCCACTCACAGAGCTTAATTTTCAAATTTGAAATGAGAGGTAGACAACCATGCAAAATATTCATGTGGGAAACCTGGAAATACAACAACTTCAAATATTTTTCATTCTTATGGAATTTATGGAATTTATATCATATAGAAGGGGGAGAATGTCTATTTTCCATGTTCCATATTAGGATTCTAAAATTAATTCTAGGTAAAGCAGTAGCAGCATGGTAGAGTTTTCTAAAGGTACAGTCTTCTCTCTTCTTCTGGGCACACAGGAGGGTTATGTTTTCCTACCGTCCAACTTCCTGCAGTTGGTGTGGGGAAGGATGGGCAGTGGCATCTGACTAGTACTGGCCAGTGGATGGTGCCTGGAAGTGACCAAGATCACTTCCAGATGGAAACATCTGATTTCTGATGCAAATTTCTCCAGGGGTCTCCCTCCTCTGCTGTGCTGATTTTAGAAGCATGTCTTAGGAGAGTTTCCACAAGATGGAAGAAGCCTGAATTGCTGGGCCACTACTCCAAACAGTTACTCCAAACTTCAATCTTTTATTGTGTTAAGCTACTAAGTGTCAATGTAAGAAATGTCCGAACCTGTAAGAATTTTTACAAGGTTGAGCCTAACTGATGACAATTGGCCAGGAAGCAGTATCTCAACAAATGGAAAAAAAAAAAAATGCTCCAGAGAATGGCAGTATTGCACCTTACTTTATACATTAGAATCAAAGGAGGAGAAATAAGGGGGTTACATGAAATCCATTGATGATAGCTTAGATAGGCAGGAGAAAGCAAAGTGGGGACACCACTGGGATTAGATAAAAAGTAAAGGAAATACACACATTCTTCTTTTACATTGGTGGGAATAGGATAGTCAACATCAATGATTAATACAATAACAATGAGATTTGTGGTCTCTACTCTGGTTCTATGGTTGTGCTTTGAGGGGTCCAGGAAAAAAAAGGGGGAGGGAACTACTTTGATATTCCTGATAGATCCTCCTTTCCCCCAACTGATGGACAGAGAATGACATAAACTCCACCTGCAGTCCAAACATTCCTGAGCACCTAACCAGGCACCTTATACAGACTATACATTGAACCACCAATCAGCACCTGCCAAATGCCCTAAGCCCCTTGTGAGATTCTCCCTTCCCTCAACTGGTGGGCAGAGTTATGACATTACTGGCATCTGTCACAGAGACATCCCCAAGACATTGAACCACCAATCAGTGCCTGCCAAAGTGTCCTTGAGCCCACCCCTTCCTGTTCTACCCTGGGTCCAACCCTCTTTTGTTCTTCCCCTTAAAAATACCCCCAGACCAGCGACATATTGCTTTTCTTCCATGTCCATCTGGAGGCAGCCTGACTGGGTCCTCTCTCCCCTCTCCACTCCTTTAATTCTGATTTCTCTACCTCCGTAATGAGTCCTGCTCATTCCTGGGGAATAAACTTTAAAATGTCTTGGTGGTCAGTTTTCTGCACCTCAAACCTTACACCCCCCTGATTCCTAAGTCCCTAATTATGTGCCTTATATGAAATCACCAATCAGCATGTGCCTAGTACCCTAAGCCCCATCCCTTCCCTTTCCTCCCCTCAAAAGATGTCTTCACCCCTACACACTCTTTCTTTCTCCTTTGGAAGGCAGCCAGGCAGGAGTCTTCTTCAATAAAGCCTGTGTCCTGGTTCTCTGGCCCTCTGTTTCATCTTTCAGTTCCAAAGGTGTGTTAGCAGGTATGTTATCATAGATGTGAAAAAGACTACAGACTCGGTTAAGGTAAAGCTTGACCTTTGTTAGAAAAAAATACTGACCTAGGACATGACTATACACCAGAAACTGCTTTTAGTTAGGAAGTTTTAATTAAAGACTACCCTGTGTAGTTAGTATAGTCTCTGAGTTTGTAAGGTGCTACACAGGCCTCCCCTGAGCTTGTCAGGTTTGGTATGTTAATGGGGAAAAAACAAAAACAAAACACACACACACACACACACACACACACACACACACACATTGAAACCTATAAAGAATTTTTGTGAGTTTATTTGAGCCAAACTGTCGACATATGCCAGGAAGCAGAACCTCAACAGATTTGAGATAATGCTCCAGAGTATGGCGGGTTACATTTGTATTTATACACTGCAATCAAAGGAGGGACATAGGTGGGTTACATAAAATTCATTGGTAATGGATTAAGGAGGTGGGATAAAGCAAAGCAGGGAAACCCCTGGGATTGGATAAAAAGTAAAATGGTGGACACTTAGGTGGGTGCAGGAATAATTAACATGATAATGAAGGAATTTGAGGCATCTGTCCTGGGGCCCACCACATTTGGTTGTGCCACAGGGGCTCCAGAAAAAGGGAAGTTACAAGTTACCTAGACATTTCAAAGGTATGTTATCATGGGTGCAAAAAGACAGATAGGCTTAGTGAAGGTAAAGGTTGACCTTCTCAGTGAAGATTCTGACCTAGCATGTAACTGCCCACCATAACTGCGTTTAAAGTTTAATTTCAGACCATCCTTTGTGGTTACTTTAGGTCTGAGTTTGCAGGATTGCCATGCAGGTCTCCCCTGAGGCTGTCAGGTCAGCATGTGGCCACTTTCGTCCACAAGCATGTAACCTCCTTTGCATCCACATAAGATTTTAGACTTTGTTAAAGCTGCATAATCTAGTTTTTCTAGACAAGTGCTGTTTAGTCTACCATGCCTAATTTGGGAGGATGTTAATATACCTAGATGGCATACAGGTAGCTTCCAGCACCGTGAATTTCAAGTTGCTCAGAAGGTGCTCATGTAACCAGACAATCAATGGGTCTGTGCTGCCTGTCACTACTGAGCCAGTGAAGCAGACACAGGGTTGAATCATATATGAGTCTTTATTCCAATTCTGCCGGCAATATGAGAAAGCAGTAGGTCATCCACAAAAATCTGCTCTGCACCCCACCACAAACCAGCTGCTTATATTGGGTAGAAGGACAAAGATTACATGGGGAAGTAGGCAAAAAATATATGCCAAATGGACAGTTTACAGGTAATGGGGGCTGGAGATTTGCAATGGCCTGTGGGTATATAAAGGCTGGTGGCCTTCAAAGGGCTAATGATATACCAAGGCTGGGGGTCTTCAAAGGGCTGGCAACTCTGGTTTCTGCAATAAGGTTGTTAACCTTTCCCTGATAATAGTAAGGTAACCAGATTTTAACATTGGTAAAGCGGGACACAATTGACTGGGGGAGGGTTCTTTATTAAAAATTTGGTCTATATGGAGCAATAAAAATTTTCATAGAACTCAAAAATAGTATTGTAATATATTTTTTAAATTTCAATGTAAGTACAATTTATAAATATAATAAATATATTAAAATTATGTATAGTATTATTTTATTCTTTGGCATATTTCTCATTTGAGTGAATTCTAACAACTGATCAACAATGCGAACTTTGATAAGCAGTTCTCGATAATCAGTTCTCAACAATTATATTATTATTAAAGTTTAACATTATAAAATTAACAAAAATAATATAAAAGTCATATCCTGGCTAAATAGCCCTATGGCCGCTGAAAACCGTATATTCCCTTCCCATTCTCCCGCCGTTCCCTAGCTTGTCATGCATTCTTTACAAAAATCAGGACTTTTTTAAAATGCCGCAGGACACAAAACAAATTGTTAAAAATCGAGACTGTCCCGCCAAAAGCGGGATGTTTGGTCACGCTAGATCAGCGTTTTTCAACCGCTGTTCCGCGGCACACTAGTGTGCCGCGAGATGTTGCCTGGTGTGCGGTAGGTGCAGACAAGACAATAATTTTATAATTTTTCACTATTTTGTTTACTTAATATTTCATAATAAAGTAATTATAAAATACTTTCTTTGTGTTTATTTGATTCCTATTCAAGAGAATTACTTTATATATAGTCAATATAGGCACAGAGTTAAATTTTTTAACATTTTCTAATGGTGGTGTGCCTCGTGATTTTTTTCATGAAACAAGTGTGCCTTTGCCCAAAAAAGGTTGAAAAACACTGCGCTAGATAATAGGCAGATGGGCAGCATTTCCAGGTGAGCTCCCAGCCAGGTTACAATGTGCCATCTTTAATCAGAATAATATTTCTTACAATTCTAGTTGGTCCCTAATATTCCATTTCTGCTTCTGTCACTCACAGTAATTGGCCAACTCTCTCTCTAAGATGCATTTTTATATTGATGTATAACATGAATGCAGAAAATTTATGTGTCACAAATGTTCATATCAATGAGTTATCACACAGTTAACAATAAATAGAGCATTACCAGCATCACAGCAGGCCCCTCTGGAGTCTCTCGGCAATGGTCAACTCTGTGTTAGCTCAGCTCACTGGAGTCAGAGCCTGAAATGGGAATTTTTCATTGTGGCCCAAGAAGAGAAGTGCTCAGGGGAGGAGTGGAGGAAACATCCTAGAGCAGAATAAAATGCTAAATGGTAACTTATGTGGCCTCAGGCAGAGATTGTTCTGCTCTCTCAGGAGCAGGGAGCTCCCAGCAAAAACTGAATCACAATTAGTCTCACCTTGAGGCAAAGGAATGGACCTTTTGTGCCCCTGTGTCAATTAGTCATCAGCTGAGATCTGGTTTCGAGGGGAGGGGCATAGCTCCCAGACAAGATACCTGTAGTTTCTGTCTGACAAGGGAACACTGGGAGCTGAAGCCACCGGCTCTCACAGTAGCCAGGATGATGGCTGCCCTGGGGCTAATGACCTGGAAAACAGCACAGGAGTATCCACTCCATATTCTCTATTGCTCAAAGGTAACCATTTCTTTGACGTGTAATGTCTTAAATTTGTCTATTCTTGAACTAAATTGAATCAATTATATATTCCCTTTGATACGCCTTACTGTGCTCAGCATTATGCTTGTGCATTTCATCCTATGCTGATGGGCTTTGGGTAAGGTGACCAGATTTTAAC